ACGATAAGTGAGACAAAATACATATGGAACTTAATAATTAGCAGTTTCATTTTGACATACTGTAGGATAACTCCTCAAATTTGAGTAATTGCCTAAATTTTGAAGAAACCTCTATGTCTTTTAAAAGTGTATCATGTGTTTATTGGAACCTTGCAACTCCACATCAGAATAAGCTTTATGCAGAGGGAGATCAAGCTTGATTAAATCCTAACTGTAACAAAAAATAGTTGATCATTCTTTTCATTACCTATTGTACTTTCACTAAGCATGTAACAGGTATTCTTAATTTATTGCAGGTATGGCAGTGCAATTCTGAATATCAAGTGGCTGCAGATATGAGGCAAACTGAAAACAAAGAGCTCAGTCCTGGTGCAGAAATAATATGCATAAATTCACCTACTAGCAGACTCTTCAATCCAGGTAAGTTAGTTAGTCCAACAGATGATTAAGAAACATATGTAGAAACACATAAGGCAATCAATTATTGTCGTCAATAAACAAAGAAGAAACGATCTGATAAAATATGTATCCAACCAAATAAGTACTGTAATTGTAATAAAAGAATCGGAAATAAGACAACGACCTGAGTTTTGCTTCTCTATCATATCAGCTCCACCATGGGTGAGGTTCTTGCACGAGTACCGCCTCAGGCCCTTTGCAGCTTTCCATCTTCATCATCTTGACCCTGAAAATTTTGAAGGACTTCAGAAAATGAAGAGTTCAGTTCTGAACTGCCGGAAAGGCTCCAACACAGATCATGCTTGGGCGTTAATGATTCAGCGACCCGAGACGGCAAGGAGAACACTTTGATGATGAGGTGAACGCCGACGGTAAGAAGAGAATCCTGTAGGCGTGGAGCATGTAGTGGACAGGCGCGAGGCAGGCGATGAGGGCGCGGAGATGGTCGATCTCCGCGTCGAAGCGGCGGAACTGGCGGAGCTCCATCTAGACATCGGCCTTCTCCTTCTGCAGGCGCCGCATCATGGCCATGGCATTGCTGGCGGCGCTGGCCGCGGCGAGGCGCTCCTCCTCCATCTCGCCCCACAGCGCCTGCGGTCTCCTCCTCCGTCTCCTCCCTCGCCGCCCCTCTTCCTCCCCATCCCCGCCCTGCCCCTCTGCCTCGCCGCCCCTCTTCCTCCCCATCCCCGCCCCGCCCCTCTCCCTC